TCATTTATACTAACAATATTTTAATTTCATTGTTCTTTTAGAACTGTACCAAAATGCGCAATCAACAGATTGCAAATTGTTACATTTTTCATTTACTCAAGAAAATTACAATATCGTAATAGTTTTATAGAGACAAACTTAAATTTTAATTTTTTATTCAATACTGATTTACTAATAAAATTCAGGAATTAATAAAATTTGGGTAATAGAAAAATATGTCGCACTTTGTGTTAGTCTTCAATCATATTTTAATGTAAAAATATTTTTAATATTATAACTATTTTACAAATGCATTTAAACAAACTTTTTATGAACAATCCAGGATGGCAATATTTTATTAAAACATGACATTTCAATACAATTAAACCTTTCATGATAAACACAGCTATTGAACACAAGATATTTAGTCACTGCAAAAGTTCCGTTAATTGATCTATGAAAAATAAGAGTATCACTTCTTACATTACTTCTAAAAAGTTATAGTTACTTGAAATTACTTCTGTTAAAAATAAAAGAGAGAAGCTAAACAGATCTTATGCAATGACTTGATATTTCGCAATTTGAAAAGAGCTAGATTAAAAAAATAAGTATTTGTAAAAATATTTCTAGTACACTTTGAAAGTATTAAAACTTGCTTACAATGATAAACAAATTTCTTTCAAAGTATAGAGTCAAGTGTATTGAGTTAAAAAATTGTACTAAAAACATGTCAAAATATGATTTAAAATTTATGTACAATACAATATCATTTAACGTACAAAACAATTTGATATTTACATCAGAAATTCTTAAAGAAATGTATAGGATTCCTTGTATAGGAAAATATTTCTGTCCTAGAAAATATATAAATTGTGATTGCTACACATAACAGAAAAAATAATTAAATAATGTAACCAAATTTTCACAAATGTACATATACTAAAAGTGTTTTATGTTTAAAAAATTACTCAAACATCAAATCTTAAGAATCTCTGATTTTTATTATCGATCACGTTCGCATTCTTCAATACTACAGTTGCTCGAAACATTATCTAAACAAATAACATATCAT